AATTCCATCCAAGCATCAGCCCGGCCCACTCTAATCTACAAAACCTGCTTCGTCTTGTTGACAGTGAAAGCATCTCCTAGGTCAACCATGCCAACTTCTTGTATCTTCCACCACGTAACAAAGCCAAAGCCGGCCTCCTTTTCTCTCTACGTGTCCCCATTCATCTGTCTGTCCTCTTTCTCTCTCTCTCTCTCTCTCTCGCGTTGTCTCCCAGAGAAAGAGAAAAAAAAAAAAAAACAATTATATACCCATCCACTTTATGCCACCCACCACGATCAACTGCATGCCGCCAGATTCTCCTCTTCTCTATTTTGGTTTGGTTTAGTTTGTGTAAGTTGAGCACTACTTGGAACAAAATCAAATCTTTAGATTTTTAACAAAATGGTTAATAGTTGCACCCAGCTCCCTAATAAACTATTTATGGTGGTGTTCTTATAATTACTTCAACCGCCTAGGTCTTAAGATAAGGTTTTTGATTCAGAAATGGAATAGTTTATGATAAGCATCCAACTTTCCACGGGTTTATTTTACTTCCAGAGGCTGAATTAAGATTCCACTTCATAAAGGGTGGTAGACAAGACAGGAGTGGTTGAATTTTCTTTTTCTGAGGTAGAAACGGTTGGTGCATGTTAATCGCATTGTTAATTACGAAACACAAATAATTAGTGTGGTTGGCATTTGATTCAAACACAAAAATGATTTCCTAGCAATTTGATGCTTGAAAAAGCACTTCTAATTGCTAGTATATAATCATTCTTTTTGACGAGTCTTCTCATTTTCCTCTTTGGGGGTTAAGTGATGGGAGTTTACCGTCCTTCACTAGTACCACTTGCAAGAGATGACCAATAAAATAGATGGAATACAAAATCCAAGCCCTTGAAAACTTCGTGGCATCCCATCATTCATCTTAAACTGAGCTTTTAATTGGTCTGAACACTCAGAACTACTATTGGCAAGTCAAAGTAAATGAGACGCTTTTATATATATATATATATATATATAACACAAACTTATAATGATAGATATTTGTCAATAATTGATAAGTTAAGAATGCAAAAGATGGCCCATTCATGAGACATTCTCCTCCAACTACAATACAAATTCTTTCCCACCCACCGCTTCCCCCTAAGCAAAGCCATACACCATTTAATTCTTCTATACCTCTCAAACCATCTTCACCTTCTCCAATCTCTCCCCTTTATTTTTCTTCACAGTAGTAGATCAAGAATAGCAAAACTGAAAAAAAAAAACAAAAATGTTAGGCAAAAAGATCGTTTCTTTCAAGAAACTTGCCAAGAAGGTGAAGGATATCAGTAGAAATGATCAGGGTAAGCAATCACAGCATGAATGCTTGCTGAGGGATCATAATTTTGATGATGGGGTTACAACCCCAACAGGGTTTTTTGCTGTATATGTAGGGGAAGACATGGAAAGGTTTGTGGTGCCAACAAGCTGTCTCTCCCATCCACTCTTCAAAATGTTGTTGGAGAAGTCATATAATGAGTTTGGTTTTGAGCAAAGGAATAGGCTTGTTGTTCCATGCAATGTCTCCACATTTCAAGAGGTTCTCAATGCTGTTGAATGCTGTAATGGAAGGTTTGATTTTGGAAATTTGGTTGAGGAGTTTATATAGATGGGAAAAAGAGTAGAAATTATAAGCTCTGGGTTTGAATTCGTAGTTCCATGATGTATAATAGAATAGAAATTACATGTCATAGATACTCAGCTCTACCAACATGGATGGGCTAATTTTGATCATATCGTGGTTAATGAACCACAAAATATTCTGAGTTTCTAGCTAGCTAGGTAATTAAGTTGCAATTGTAAGATATATATATATATATATATATGTATGTATGTATGTATGTATGTATGTATGTATGTATGTATCTTCACTTCTTTTGCTTTAAGTTTCTGCATGTTGACTAAATGAAACAGTAGCAGTTGTCCAGTTACACAATAAGGATATTGCTTCCTTTGCCAAGGTTGCTTCTATAGCTAAACACTTGACAGGATAGAAAGAAGAGCCAGGTGATGTGAAGCTCCATTGTCTTTGCTGCCTGTTAATGTCTATAAATTAACCCCTCCATTAATTCTCTACTCTCCCCTTTGATTTCTAGTTTTTATTTCTTTACTGCCAATTAAGCCAATAATGGCTGATCTGCTATGTACATAATTAATGACGATTGATGCTTCTCAAGACTATCTCAATTAATCTCTTAAAAACCATTGCTACGATCAGTTAGTTGCATCCGTCGTAGTTATGGTAGCTAAAAACAAATAGTTTTTTTGCTTTCGTCTTAATATATAATTAGGAAATTTTCAAATTAGTTTTAGAAATTATATTCCTAACCCGCAATCAAATCTTAAATTAATAAGTCATTATTCATGCATGAACTTGTATATCCACATAATATATTTATTTATTTTATCTTACTACCTTATTGTGGATACAAACACCTATGGATCGATCGAACATGCCATTTATCACTTAAGCTAGCTAATCCTCAAGTATATAAATAGTTAATGAGATAGAAGGTAAAAATAGTAGGCAACATGTTCTTCATTGGAACTTGGTAGGATATATATATATATACTATGTACACTAGAAAGTGAATATTTGTTCCAAGTGACGAGTGTGTTAATTTGGTTAAGTATTGAATCTCTCGGCTACGAACTAAATGACAAAGACATATGTGTAGTTTATGCATAAAAAAGGTCTCCGAACTAAAAATAAAGTACATTGAACTCCACTAAACAATACCAATTCAAAACTAGGCACCGCATTATTTTTATCTGAACATGAACAGCTAATAACGATTAATAAAAATGTCGAACAATTGACAGTTTTGTTTATATATATATATATATAGAGAGAGAGAGAGAGAGAGTTAATGTATCTCAGATCGGACATGTCTTACAAGACAAAAGTAGTTGAAGCAGATGCTGCACATCGCTATGATCTAATCAAAGACACGAATGTTTTAGTAACTTATGATGGGATTCAATTATGGACAGGCTATTATTGATGAAATCAAATCCAGTAATGCTAAAACTACTAAATTTTTTTATTACAAAATGAATGATGTGGCACTTATGATGGGAAAAGTTTTTTTTTTTTTTTTTTTTTAATTATAGAATACGAACCTTGTTACATTCAATATTGACATAATCCCAATGATGAAATAATATATTAATAAAAGACCAATCATTGAGTAACAATATTCGAATAAAGATCTCAGTATTTCTAGTATTAGTAAAGCATATTATTTATGATCCAAAGTAGCTCACAATGGATGTCGATGCATCCAATCAACTGATATTGGTCTATTCGATTAAGTGAGGTTAAACGAAGGCATGTTTCAGAAACATTTCAACATCCATTTGGATTTTCTCTATATTCATTCAAATACATGGTTAAATTTGTCCCAAAAATCTGTGTTCGGAGAATGCCATTTTGAGTGTAGAATTTACCTCAGGCATAACATAAGACAACAAAAGTTGGAGACGGATTGTTTACAAAATGAGAAATCATTTCCACTCCGGTGAGTAATATTCTGGTGATGGACCGTTTTGAGTCAATTGGGCACAAGCCCAAGGCCATCGCCGAGTGCTTATAGTATCGTAATCTTACAAGAAAAATCCATGATTGATGCATGAATAAGCAGTTTTTTTTCATTTCAAGCACTTCATTAACTGATTGCTTTGGGTAATGAAATGGTCTGCCAATAGACAAACTGATGGACTAAACCCACAAAGTAAACAATACTAGTTCATCTCCAATAAACGTTCTCATAGAAGGCAAGTCTAGCTCTCACTCTCCCCATTGGCACAACCATCAACAAGAATTTTCTTCATATCATCAATTAACTTCTGCATTTGATCCCTTGAATGCAAAGGTGATGGATACACACAAGCACAATCCAACCGTCCATCTCGTATGGTGTCAAATATGGCGACGGAAGGGCCCACACCATGGACTGACGAGCACCCCACATAATCCTCTACCCCCACCTCTCCATGCATTTCGTTAGTATCATCAGTGACAGGGTCCTCAAATACTGATATGAAGGCAGTCCTCAACGATGACGACGGAGTTAATCCTGGATTTTCGATTGCCTTGCACATGAGGAAGTTCAGGTCACCCATGTCCGTGAAATGCTTGTTATTGTTCTTTGCATTCGAATAGGCCGTGTAGCACCTTTTTGCTAGATCCCATAGATTTTCACCTCCACTTACGTCATGAGTATTTAGGATGGCAGAGTGATAAAATCCTGTAATGATCAGGTTAGCGTCAAGTCAAAAGTCATATTGTCATCTACAAAAAATTTCGTCCGTCCCTCGGAAGAGAATATGCCTATTCACACTACCAATCTCTAGTTAAGGAGAACTAGAATCATGAATAACTAGTTCTAACTTTTTTACAGGACAATGGAACAAGGAAAACACACAAGCATCTGGACCGTCTTATTTCCCAGTTTGTTCTTGAAAGGATGAGGTACTGGTTGGCCGATTGAATTAAAAAGCTTTCAGCATCTTAAAAGAAATCTTAATGTATAAACTACATTACTGAAAGTAAAATGACTTATAAAGTACAATGCTTACCCATATAATCGCTACTGAGAACAGGGTCAAGAATGGAGCGGCAGTCAATGAGGGTTACAACAGCATACTTCTCCCTTTGATGATCAGAAAGGTCTTTAGTGGAATGTGCTGCAATCAAACCAGCAGCTGCCAAGGCTCCACTAAGTTTAATCCCTCTTGACTTGCAACCCTGCAAAATAATTCATAATTCCAATGGTCACAACACAGCAACTTCTAAAGGTTAGGTACTAGCTTGCAGCTCTGCCTTAAGTGATTTACGAGTAGTTTGGCCTTTTCCATTTCAAGAAAGTGACAACCGTGGCTGTGAGCTGATATGCACCACCAATATATATAAGACTGGATTTATCACATCCAAATTGTCTAGCTTATAGAGTTATTTCTTTAAATTGTTCTTGGGAATTGAAGGACTTCGAAGACCACATAGCCTTTTAAGTATTTTCTGTTTTTGGATGAAGAAGAAGAATTTATTCCATCTAAAGAAACTATACACAACAAACTGGGCTGATAGCAGCCACCAAAAACAGAGCACTATATAATTCGATCATCTTAAACTCTACTCTCAAAGATGGTTGCAGACTTGCAGGTATTTCCAATTTATTACTGAAAGCAGATAGTTAACCTGTACTCTTAAAGATGGTTGCGGACTTGCAGATATTTCCAATTTATTACTGAAGCATCTGCTTTCAGCAGTATTTTTAACACCTAAGGCTATAAAATCTCAATCTCGCAGCAAAAAAGTTCTCCTTTCGTAAATGCTCCTTGGTACGAGAAGATGGTTACGGATTCATCATTCCATGCTAACTAACCACACTAGATTTGATGCGCTATGCTAACTTAAGAATTAAACATTTGAATTGTTTTCCCCTTCCTCTTCAATGCAGAAATAAGCTGCTGGAACTGATCATTCCAAGAATCAACATGTGCAAGAACCACAGTGTTAGATTGAACCTCCAAATCCTTCGGGAAAAATAGCAATCATAATCGAAATGGTCTCTAAATTCAATAGCTTGTCTGCAGAAGATGCACTAATGATCTCCTTCAGAATTCATAGTAACTGTCTTTCTTTTAAAGAGACAGAACCAAAGCCATAAGACAATTTCTTGGAATAGGTTGGGGGTAGCTAATAAGATGAAACGGTTTATCCCTGACAGGCTTCCTCGTAATCACCTGATTTTGAAACAGTCCAGAAACTAGCATTTTGCTTAAGGACATTTGTCTCTATCAAATTTAAAAATAAACCACATTAAATTTCCATTAAATCATTAGACTAGTTTCCCAATAACATTAAACCTTTTCTAGTTTGACCCGAGCCAGCATCATCCGCTCTACGAGGGCCAAGCTTTAAAATACAAGATCTAAAGGAATAAGGATCCCACATGCATGCCGAAGAAAAGTGGAGAGTGGAGAGTTCATTCCAATGAGATAGTCAAGGAAGTTCTAGCTATATCTGTAATTTTCAATATTCTTTGACTGAAACAATCTATAAAAAGCCAACTTGCAGAAATAAGCAAACATGGCCTATGAGCATTAATTGACCAAGACTACAAAGCAAGAACCACAAAGTAGGGCCAAGCAAATTGAAGTCGGACGAAATCAATTTGGCTTGAGATTTTTGTTCCTTGATTATCTTAAGTACCACTCTTTATGTAATTTGAAAAGATTTTAGGCTTTTATTTAGGAAATATCAATATCTTTGGATTTTATTTTTTATTTTATTGACTTTCGATATTAAGATTTCTAAATTTTCTATATATTAGACAATAATATAAAATCATTTTCAAAGTCTCACCCAACAGCTTAAACTTTTAAGTTGAAATGCTTCTTTGACATATTGTCAAAACTTTAATAACCAAACGATCACGAATTTGAATTTCACCACCTCTACCTTTTTTTTTCCTAATTAAAAATATAATAGTATAAGTTAGTATAGATATATGCAAGTTTCAAGCCTAAAGCGCTTTCGTTTGAAGTAATATGTTAGAGAGCAATATAAAATTATTCCAACAACGAAAGCTTTTGGAATTTAAATAATCCTTTGACACTACATAAATAATTGTACTAACCTAATTCATAAAATATCAGATGAATTTTTTTTTTCTGAGTATTTCCCTACACAACAATGGCTATGTTTTTAGTTTGTGAGGGTTATGATGCAGATCAAACCCCGTTATCACGCTATCTAACACGAAAATGGCATGAATTATTCTTGTTTTTTATTGAACGAGAGAGTCTATTTATACAAGATGCCGACTAAGTTAAAGGATTGCCAGCAAAGCATATTCCAACTAAGCAAAGTAACCGACAAACTTAATCTAACGAATATAACTAATGCTTCTATTTGATATTTGTGATAAAAAAATCACGTGATACCCCCTCAAGGTGGAGCATACACATTGTGAATGCCCAACTTGGAAGCAGAGGCACGAAACGGAGCGATGGGCAAGGCTTTGGTGAACCAATCAGCCACTGATGAATGGAAGGGACCGGAAGAAGCTTGACTATGCCGACTTGAAGTTTTTCACGAACAATGTGGCAATCGAGCTCGATGTGTTTGGTGCGTTCATGGAACACCGGGTTAGCGAGCAATGTGAAGAGCAGAGGTATTGTCACGGAACAGCAATGCAGGAGTTGAGTGGGAGATTTGAAGATCCCGCAGAAGGTAAAGGAGCCACCGTAATTCACAAGTGGCATGAGCAAGAGCTCCGTATTCGACTTCGAATCGGACCGAGATACGGTAGCTTGCTTTTTGGATTTCCAAGAGATTAACGAAGAACCCATAAATACACGAGTACCTAGTAATGGATTTCCTAGTGTCTAAACAAGTGCCCCAATCTGAATCGGAAAAACCTTGAATTTGAAGGTCATTACTGGAAGGGAAGAAAAACCTTGACCGAGGCGGCTTTGATAAAGCGAAGCACTCTATGAACAGACTCTCAAATGATTCTCCGTAGGACAATCAAGGTACTCGGGATAATTGTTGCACAAGCAAAGGAAATGTCGAGCCCGGTTGTAGTTAAGTATAATAATTTTCCAACAAGGCTTCGATAGGTAGTGTTGTCGGAGAGCATGGGACTGTCATTTTTGGAAAGCCTTTGAGCAGGAACCATGGGGGTAGAGACAGGTTTAGAATGAAGGAAACCCGAGTCCTGCAAGAGTTCAACAAAGCATACTTGTGTTGACTTAAGTTGAGGCCTCCGGAAGATCTAGCAACCTCAAGACCAAGAAAAAAGTTAAGAGGTCCTAGATCCTTAATTCCGAAACGATCATGGAGGAAAGATTTGAGCTGATGGATTTGTCGTATGTCACCACTAGCGAGAATTATATCATCCACATAGATTAACACAAGCAAGGAAGTGGGAGCCGAGCCTCTAACAAAGAGACTATGATCTGCGGCTGCACTGGGAAAAACCTTGAGCAAAGAGGGCAGTAGAGAGTTTAGCGAACCATTGTCTCGCTAGCTTGCTTCAACCCATAAAGAGACTTAACAAGTTTACAAACTTTATTTGAACCGATGGATTGAAATCCTAGAGGAAGGCACATATACACTTCCTCATGGAGATCACCATGCAAGAAAGCATTGTTGATGTCCAATTGTTCTAAATTCCATCGTTTGATGGAAGACATCGCCAGACAAAGTGCGGATGGTAGTCATCTTAGCAACAGGATCGAATGTATCCAAATAGTCAATGCCGACTTGCTGGGTGTAGCCTTGGCCACCAAGCGAGCTTTGAACCTCTCAATGCTCGCCATCGATTTGTGTTTAATCCTCGTAAACCCATTTGCACCCAATTGGTTGCTTACTCGCGAGCGGATCCGTGAGGACCCAAGTGTTGTTATCTTGAAGAGCTTTTATCTCATCCCGCATAGCAATTCTCCAACACTCGTGTTTGACGGACTCATGGTAAGTTTTTGGTTCGGACGTGTGTGTAATGTTGGCGAGAGAATATGTGATGAGAGGGACTAAAGTGTGAGTAAGAAAAAACATTATTAAGAGAGTGTGGAGAAGTACCTTGTGGAGAGATAGCGGAACCCGCTCGTTGAGGGATGATTGGTAGAACTGGCATGTGGAATGAGGGAGTGATCATAGGCTCGAAGATAAGAGGGGACATGTTTGATTCTAGAGGATTTTCGAACTGGTGGAGGAACGAGATTAGTGGGATCAACGGTAGTTGTAGACACGGGAACAACGGGATTGATAGGAGGTGAAGAACACGAGTAGGAGATAAAGGGGAATCGAAGTAAGGTCCGAAATAGGAATAGATGGTAAAACAAGATCGGAGGGAAGATAGGAAGGGTTGGACTGCATAGGAAAGAGGTGTTCATAAAAAAGAACATCTCTGGATATAAAAGTTTGATGAGATGTGAGATTGTATAATTTGTAGCCTTTTGTTCCATGTGGATAACCAAGAAAAATGCATCCGATGGCTCTAGGAGCAAATTTGGATCGTGATTGAGCTAAGGTTGATGCAAAACGAGACAACCAAACACTTTTAGATGTGAGAATTGAGGTGGTTTATTGTACAAGAGTTCAAATGGTGTTTTATTTTGAAGAATAGGGGAGGGTAAACGGTTAATCAAGTATACGACATGCAAAACACAATCCCCCCAAAAAGATAAGGGAAGATTAGACTGAAATCTCAAGGATCTAGCTACTCGCTAGTATATGCTGATGCTTTCGTTCAACAACACTTGTTTTGTTGTGGAGTGAAAATACAAGTGGTTTGGTGGATGATGCCATGGAGATAATAGAATGTAGGCATATTAAACTCCCGACCATTGTCGGTTCGATGCATTTAATCTTGGCGAGAGAATTGAGTATGAGCAAAGGAACGTAAATTTTGCATCGAACTCTAGCTTCGATTTCAATTTCATTAAGAAAACCCAAGTAAATCGACTAAAATCATCCACTATGGTAAGAAAATAATGATGACCGAGAGAGAGTTGCTACTGGAAATGGACCCTAAATATCGATGTGAATGAGTTCAAAATAAGTTGAACTAACAGATTGGCTTACAGGAAAAACAAGTTTCTTTTGTTTAGCTAGATGACAAGTTTCACATGGAGAAACATTTTCAGCTACAATAGTAGAATCTAGAGCTTGGAGACTTTTAATCCGAGGAATAGAGGGATGCCCCAACCTATTGTGCCAAAGGATGGCAGAAGACTTTGTGGAGGAAGTTGAATTGCGAGGAACGGAACGGGTCTTGCCACATGAAGAAGATGCGAACCGAAAAATGATAAAGGCCTTGGAATTTCCTAGCTATACCAATCATCCTCAAGCTTTTCGGGTCCTGTATCACACAAACATCGAGTTTGAAGATCAAACAACAATGTGAGTCGAAGTCAATTTAGCAACGAAACAAGGTTATAAGAAAATGAGGGTGCATATAGGACATTAAGCAGTACCAAGGATGATGATAGAGGGACAAGTACCAATGTGAGTAATTGAAGCTTGTTGACCGAGTTGGCAATTTAACAAGCATATTAGAAATAGGGCGATATTGACTAAAAAGGTTTAGGGAGCATACTATGTGATATGTAGTTCCAGTATCTAAAATCCGGACGGACGGACAAGTATGAGAATTGGAATGACGAGGAAGATACTAAGGTACTCGTCATATGGCAAGAAGGAAAATCGATCCGGAGGGAGTTGATGTGGACTGGAGAGTTGATTTTGGGAGATTGAATTAAAGCCATCGGGTTTGCATATTGATCTTGTGTGAGAGAAATGGAAGGAGGCGAGTGTGACACAAGTGTTAGGTTTTGCAGTAGGATTGGGATAGTCAGCAGATTCAAGATTCTCAACACTATGCCCGGACATGCACTCGCTCCGTAGATAAACTAGCCGCTTTAATCGGATTCGTAGGATTCTTTCACCACCTCTATCTTCTTTTTTTCCTAATTAAAAATATAATAATATAAGTTAATATAGACATATGTAAGTTTCAAGCCTAAAGCGCTTTCGTTTGAAGTAATATGTTAGAGAGGAATATAAAATTATTCCAACAATTAAAGCTTTTGGAATTTAAATAGTCCTTTGACACTACATAAATAATTGTACTAACCTAATTCATAAAATATCAGATGATTTTTTTTTTTTCTGAGTATTTCCCTACACAACAATGGCTATGTTTTTCGTTTGTGAGGGTTATGATGCAGATCAAACCCCGTTATCACGCTATCCGCCATGTCAATTTGTATCAGAGCGGAATTGACTAGATTGGTGGACACAACCATGCCAGCAACATAGATCAAGAGATGCAGGTCATCTGGAACAGTGTATGAATCCCGAAGGAGCAAAGGCTTGATCGTCATTGTGAGCGGCTCAATAGGAGTTTCACAAGGATTCGTGAAGGTCCTAATATCTTAGTGGTAGGTGCAAACAGGTTTCGAGATGACAATAGCCACGTCCAAAGATTACCTTGTGCAAACCCATTCCAGATCTATTGCTACAAATCCATATAAACTTCAAGTCTATACGGAAAGCCTGAGGATGAGTTTCTTCTCGAGTGGATGATGTGGGACAGAATCAATTTAGCCTGAGATTTTCATTCATTGATTATCTTAATTACCATTATTATGTGATTTGATTTAGGGAATATCATAATTTTTGGATTTTATTTTTTATTTTATTGACTTTCTATATTTTAGTATCATCAGGGTTTCAAAATTTTCTACATAAGCAGTTGTACTAGCTTTTCGACAGACAGATTTTGATGAATAAAATTTGTGGTATTTTTGGGTGTTTTGCCGACAGATATAGCTGTGTTTTTTTTGTTTTTGAGGGTTTTGACGCCAAGCTATCCACCAGTCGCAAATGGTTTGTTTGGTTTGGTTTTATTTTGTTCAACTTTTTGAAAATCAAACCAAACGGAACTTATGAAAAGTCGAATAGTGTGAACCGAAATACAGTGAAAACCAAATAGACGGAACAAAATTAACCGAATTTAAGGCTTTTTTTTTTTTTTTGAACCGAACAGTGCACGCCCCTACCCCAAATTGCATCCGAAGGTAAGTACATAAACCAACTTGAAGAAGTAACTACCCAAAGGACAGAAATTCGATCCCCAAACAAAGACTGATCAGAAGACAACAATGATGTTGATCAAATTTTGCCTTAGCTACGGAGCACTAATTTTGAGAAGTCCAGAACTCAGATGGGAAATTAATGGTGAAATGTATCCACCGTAATAAATCGCAACATGGGCCACAGATTATGTAAGGCTGCCTTAAGGCGAAGTCCTATCCATCTCTTTCAAACTAGAGAGAGCCGATATCTCTTGCCTTGAATGTAAGTGGGCCTAAACGAGACTTTTTGTCTAAAGTCTTTGTTTTTCTAGCTGGGCCCACTTGATTGAAAGCAATTAATACTTCCATGGTTTCATGTACGCAATATCATATATAATGACTTAACTACCAGCTACGCTGAAAAAGAATGAATAATTATAATATTTTATGGATAACATACTTTAGTCCTAATTTTATAATAAATAATTACATATTAAGTTAATAAATCATATTATATCATATGACACTGCAACTTCAGTGCAGCCTAATTTGATGTATCATAGGGTTTTTGCTCGGCTTATGCAGGACCTAAATGTATTGCTAATTTGTATTTGCTTCATTTGCTATTTTTGCTTTAGCTTCCGCTTCAGCTTTTACATCGATCAAAAATAAAATTTTCTTTTTATGATTTTTAAGGATGCATTTTCTAAATTTATTTAAAAAATAAATTTCGCAAAATACTAACAGCAACGTTGGAACTCTAAAATTATAAGAAGGGAAAAAAAAACTCCTTGACTGATGTGTCTATTCCTTATCAAAAATATTTTCGAATCAATATATTTATATATTGAGATTAAATTTGTTTCCAATCCAACGCATTAGAAAACAGTTCAGATAAGATGCAGAATTGATCTAACACGCATCACAAGCAAACGATAGCTAGCAAACAAATCTAACAATGCGAAGACAAAACCACTTACATCAAGGAGCTTTTGGGTATCATCTGGGTTCATTTGAAGCCTCGCCACTTTAGAGCCTCTAGGAGAATCAGCATCTACAAAATCCAAATTGGACAATCTAAACGAGTTCAAAGAATATCCAAGCATGTCCAGCCCACGCGCCCAAAATGGCTTGTTACCCTTCCCATTCGGAACATGGTCTTCAATTCCCAAACTAACCTCCACTTCATTCTCATATTCCTTCTGTGTCCCTCCTAGACTTTCCCCACCGAACCGAACCAAAAGTTCTCTCAACAACCCAGCCGCCGCTGCACGGTCGCATGTCGACGTATGCAGCCGGAGGACCACCGCCCAACGTTTTTCACTCAACGTGTACAAAGTAACAAAAAACACGTTAGTTTCAGCGTCTGATGATTGGTCAAGATATGCTGACCAAGAGTTCTGGTTTAGTTCGTGCTCTAAAATAAGGTGGTAAGGGTCTATGTTTCGGTCGTTGTTGGAGATAATGTCAGAGGTTGATGAAAGATCGAATCGTTGGATTTGGACGTGAGGAGAGGTTGGAGTGATGAAGGAGAAGGTGTTGGTGGTGGAATTGAAACGGAGCTTGGAACGGAGGAGAGGACGGGAATTTTGTAGTTTGTCGAGGATAGTTTGGAGAAGATGGATATTGGGTCGTTTTGTTAAGAGGAGAGCTAAGACGGTGATGCCTGTGCCAAGAGGAACTGATCTGCACCAACTGTACTCAGTGGCACCAACTGGTCTAGCCCTGGGCTCCGGTGTTTGTGGGTTCGAGTCTAATTGGCCTTGGTCTTGGTCATGGTCATGGCTAGGCATGTTGAATTGGAGGAGACAGGGCTGATGGGATCAAAGAGAGAGCTGGGTTTGGTTTTGGGTAAGGAAGATGAAATGACAAAGTGAAAATCCTGCTTGTATCCAAATTGGCTTAGTTTCCTGGCTATGCATAAATCCTAGCTAAAAATCTCTGTAAAACTGAGCATGTAAATGTGTGATTGCTTGATGGACCAAAACATAGCTCCATATATGTCCAAAGAAAATTATTGGGACTGTAATTATTGTACTTGTGATTGGTTTTTGGTCCACTTCGTTTGCAAGCAAAGGGATAAGAAATCTGAACTCGTGGATTTCGTTTTGGTTTGGATTGATATTTCATTTTCTATACTTAATTCTGATTCTAGGTTTTTTTATTCCAAAACTAATATAATTCTCATCGTTCCACTTTCAATGCTGTTATTAATTGAAACAATCACAATGTCCCAGTAGTACAGACATATCTCAAGACATTTAATTCAGTCTATTTTACATGTTATTCTCCCAATATATATATATATATATATATATATATATTTTATAGTCTTAGAACTCAGGTTGTGAAAAAGCTTACCATCCAACTCTCAACCCTAGTTGCAAATTTCTTTCTCCTCTGTAAAATTCCTAGTGGCAAACTTCATTTTCTTCTGCAAACTTCTCTTTCTTCAACAAAACTCCTAATCGCAAACTTTCTTTTCTTCTACAACTGCAAACTTTTTTTTTTTTACTCACTACAAATCTCATAACCACAAACTTCTTTCTTTTATAAAATTCCTAGCTGCAGACTTTTCCTTCTACAAAACTCCTAGCATCAAACCATGACCAATCCAATCACATCAGACAGTAAAACCACTTCCTCTACTTTTTCTCTCCCTCGGGTTACTTTATCAAAAACACAAATACCCAACCCCATCGCTTCCATCGTGACAATCAACTCAACACAAATCCCTATCAAACTCATTAAATGTTGGAATCTTTGCTACCTGAAAATCCCAGTTTGAGAATCTCTTTTTTGACTATGGACTCATGGGATTTCTAGACGACACACACTCATGTCCTCCACAACATATAGAAGACACCATAACTAAATAAATGATTCCCAATCTAGACCACTTTTATTGACTCCAACAAGACAGACTGTTACTCAGTGCCATTCAAGTCTCCTGCACGGGTGTAGCACAATCAATTGTCTTTCGCTTCCAAACCTCAACCTAAGCACAGGACAAACTCCATGTCACATACACAAACCATTCTACCATCCGCAGACATGGCCTTCTAGACTCTCTCGCTAATGTAAGCATAGAAGGCAAATTTGTCTCTGAATATATGCAGGAAATCAAAGGCATCGTCAATGATCTTGAACTCATCGGCCATACAATGGATGATGATGCCACTATCATACTCATTCCTAATGGTCTCGGCTTCTCCTACTCTTCTCTTACTTCTACCATTAGAGCTCAAGAGACACCCATTTTGTTTGAAGAACTACATGACAAACTCTTTGATCATGAAGCTACCCTTCGACGTGATGAAAGGAAAAGGAAGGCTCATTAATCACTGCTCAATATACTCAAAGAAGTTCCCTCAACAAGGGTCGTGAACAGCCAAACCATTACTCATCCACTACCGGGAACACTTAACATTCTACCTTCTATAACAAGTTCACTCCATAACACCATAGTGGCCGCAGTCGTGGTGGGTTGGTATCGACCCAATAATCATTACAATTCCAATCAAAATCAATGGTGTTCATCTTTCTTTAATGGTACCGTTCGAACAGTATGCTAACTATATGACAAAGTTAGTCATGTTGCTTGCACATGCCGCTCTGGCCCACCACCTCAAGGATACCAACATTTGCCTCAAACACATCACCTGTTAATAGATCCATCTACACCTCATAATAATTAGATTTTTTTCCTATAGGGCCTCTCATCACATGATGGCTAATCTTCATAATCTCTCATTTCACTTCGACTATGGCAGCACAGAAGAGATCATAGTTGGTGATAGTAAAACTATACCCATATCTCATATTGGTTCCACCTATCTCTCTATACTATCTAATACTTTAAAGTTAAAAATATATTATGTGCTCCTCATAGTTTACAAAATCTAGTTTGAGTTTCTTAATTTTTCTCTCACAATAACTCATCTATTGAATTTTTTTCTAATAATTTTCATGTAAAGGATCTGAACATAGGAGTATTCTTGGTCCGCGATCAAAATGAAAGGAATCTCTATGTTTGGCCAATATCAAAAGAGTCTAGCAGCACACACAACTCATACGACCTACCTGAACCCCACACCCTCTATTACCGTAGTTTCATCTATGACTTAGCATCGTAGACTTAGTCACCCCTCATCTCAAGTCCTCCACAAAACCATATCCTCCTAAAAATTACCTATCTCTCATCATACCACTCATCCCTTTCATTGTGATGCTTGTGTAACTAATAAGAGCCATAAATTGCCTTTTAGTGTCTCCACTCTCAAATGCAATAAGCCATTGTAAATTTTATTTACTAATTTTAGGGCTTTACTCACCTACCATCATTCAACCATTGTTAGTATTACGTTATTTTTGTGAACTATTTCATAAAATATAGTTGGATATATTTACTCAAACACAAATCTAAAGTCCCATATATATTTATTAAATTCAAACCATTTGTTAAGAATTTCTCAACACTAAGATTAAAATAGTTTACACTGATGGTAGTGGAGAAGCTCAATCTCTTAGCCATATTTCAATCGCTTATGGCATCCAACACTTAAAATCACCTCTTCATACATTCGAACATGTTGACATTACCGAACACAAACATCATCATATCATTAAAACTATTTTAACACTTCTTTATCATGCTTCTATGCCTCTCCAATGTTAGTCTTTCGCCTTCCAAACGGTAGTCTAACTAATTAATCGAATGTCTACTAAAACTCTAAATCACCAAAGTTTCTACCTTAGCCTTTTTCGAACATACCAAGTTATAAAAAATTATGCACCTCTAGGTGTTTGTGATACATGTGGTTAAAGACATTACATCGCCTATAAATTCTAACCCCAATCCAAATCGTGTCTTTATTGGGTATTCCATATAACACGATGCATTTTAATGTCTTGAATCCTAGACAAAACGCATCTATGTGTCCCATCACGTTGTTTTTGTTGAACATACCTTTCCTTTTACATCAACCAACCTTCGACCACTACTCGTCATCTCTCATATTATCAATCATTGGCTCATGTTTCTATTTGTGTCTTCATCACTCTTTGATGCTCGAGTTCTCTACTATTCTACATGACACATAGCTCACTCGCTTAAATATTACCTATATCTTCTCAAAACATATCTACCCCTACTATCATACCAAAGACATTAACCTTCTATGGGTACTCTCCTCCACCATCATCTACAACTCAAGATAAAGATTCTCTTAATTTCTCTCATAGATACACTACAACAAAATTGACATATAGAGGCGATATAGTTGAGGTGGTTTAGAAAACCGCCTCAAAGTTTAATGGTTTTTTAAACTCATATGCAGTATATAGAAACAAATTTGAAACGGTTTACCAAACCGCCCCAAGTTTTAAAGAGAAGCACATTTTTTTATTTCTAAATTATTTTTTTAATTCTAAAAAGGAGAAGATCGATCATATCATATCAAATGCTTCATTATCCCTCTCCTCTTAGGTTTTCCTTCTTCTCCTACGCTCATTCTCCTCTACTTTTCCTTCTTTTTGTTCGAAAAGGAGAAGATCAAACTCTCGTGATGCTTCATTATCGAGAGCTTCCCTTCTTCTCATATGTTTCTTCTCCTCTACTTCTTTCATCTTCTTGTTTTTTTTTTTAGTTCCGAAAGGGAGAAGAGATGCTTCATTATCCCTCTCCTCTTAGGGTTTTCCTTCGTCGGCTCCGCTTCTTCCTTCGTCGACTCGTTTCGCTCGGCTCGATTCTTCCTTCGTCGGCTCTTCTTCTTCCTTCTTCTCCCCGTGTTCGTCTTTCTCTTCTTGTTAAAAACTAAATTATAACTATCTACCAAAAACCTAATTTCTAATTTTAAGAGTCTTTTCTATCCATAAAATGACTTATTTCAAATCAATTGGGTGCTTACTATTGATTTTCTCATTGATCTTTCTAATGGCAAATATGCTAAATTAATTTTTATGTGTTCTTTTCTCTCTATTTTTTAATTAATTTCTTGATGTATCCATCGTTATTCAATTAGATGCGGTGGTAGTTGCATTTGAAAGATAAAGCCATTGTAGAATTTTTTTTCTTTGAGAGGATTCAATAAATAGTTCTAGTTAAATTGTGCTTCATTCTAGTTATTAGAGGTTAAATTTGGATGTAATGCTTCACTCCAGCTTAAATGCTCGCTTTTATCTAATGATAAGCCCGTACCGTAATGCCTTAATATTTATGTTTTTTGAGTTGCAGTGGGTACCAAATTATAGCATTCTAGCATAGTGAATCTACTAGAGATGAAATTATAACTATCCTCTAAATCAATTGGGTTAATATTTATGTTTTTTGAATTGCGGTGGGTACCAAATTCCGAGCCGCAAGTTCGAAAGAACGGGAAGTGAGGGCATACCATGAAATTGAAAGGCAAGATATGCATAAGATGCTAGATGAATACCTTCTTCTCTGTCAAAAATGGGGGTAACACTTCTTTTTAAGTTTCTTCTTCTACGTAGGTTATGTTATTGGATTGTTTTGAGAGGGTGTATCCGAATTATGAAAATCTTGTATTCTAAAAAAGAAGAGCTATGAAGAGTATAATAAGCATAAACTTGAAATATTTTAGGTCATGTCCTCCTTTGGTAAAAAACCAAGGAATTTCGGCACATCTATTTGGAATATTGAGTTGTCATGGCTTCTTTTTTAAGAAAATGTTCGGGTAGCAATGAAATTCTTGTCTATCAAAGTCGACTCGAGAACTCGTTATGCATAAAGGTGTATTTACCACCTTTTTCCATAATATTTTATGAAAGC